ACTATTCTAACTGTATTAACAGGACATATTTTAACTATTTATTTAATATGTTATTACTATTTTTTAACTATTTTTAATCTATTTGGGCAATATTATATCCACTATTTATTATCTATTTTTAACAAGCTGGGATGTATTTTAACTATTTATTCTCTGTTTTTAAACTATATTATCACTAATTTTGAACTGTTTATTATCTATTTTTAAACTATATTATCACTATTTTAGAACTATTTATTATCTATTTTTAAACTATAATACCACTATTTTTGAACTATTTATTATTTATTTTTAAACTATATTATCACTATTTTTGAACTATTTATTATCTATTTTTAAACTATAATATCACTATTTTTGAACTATTTATTATCTATTTTTAAACTATATTATCACTATTTTTGAACTATTTATTATCTATTTTTAAACTACAATCTCACTATTTTTGAACTATTTATATATTGACTATTTTAAACTTTGTTGAAACACATTTCACCTATTTATTACATATTTTTTACCTATATTGTCACTATGTTTTAACTATTTCATACATATTTATTAACTATGTCGAAACTAACTATTTTTAATAATTTCCTTAAATAGCTGTATTTTTATCATATTTGAAACCTATTTAATTTCTATTCGAGTACATCAATTAAGTATTTGTTTAGAAATATATCATGAATAGGAAAAAAATATGGTTCCACTTGGATAGGAAAAAAATAGCCTTTCTACCCTAATTTAAATAGGAAAAACCTCGAAAAAAAATAATAGTAAAAATAGGGAATAAATACTTTGACAAATAGGAATTAAATAGCCCAATAAAATAGGAATTAAATAGCAATTAAATAGTGTTTGATTCTACAAGGGATGTAGAATCCGACATATTTATAACCTATTTTATACATATTTTTTCTCTATTTAGCCCTATTTTTTCCGTATTTTTTCAAAAATATGACTATTTTATTACTATTTATCAAATTTCATAAAATAGTATATGACTATTTACATCCTATTTAAAATATAGGTTATTTATATTTTTCAAAAAAATAGCTTTGAAATAGATATTCAAATCCTATTTGAAAGAGTAATTGACGGAATCTCAGTATAAAATAGCTTTTAAATAGCTATTTAATTCCTATTGATGACAAACGAGTCAGTTAAAATAGTTTCAATAGCTATTTTTAAACTATTTTTGCATATCTTCAGTTTGGAGCCATTCTTAACATAGTTATTAAATAGCAAAATAAATAGATCTTAAATAGCTATTTAATTCCTATTCATAGAAAGTTGTGGCGAACTTTGTTCAAAATAGCTATAAAATAGCTATTTTTAAACTATGTTTGCTTTTATTTTTGGAGATATTATTGAGTATTGTTAAAATAGTTATTAAATAGGAAAATAAATAGATCTTAAATAGCTATTTAATTCCTATTCATAGAAAGTCGTGGCAAACTTTGTTCCAAATAGCTATTAAATAGCTATTTTTAAACTATGTTTGCTTTTATTTTTTTAATTTTAAGAGCCATTCTTAGAATAGTTATTAAATAGCAAAATAAATAGATCTTAAATAGCTATTTAATTCCTATTCATAGAAAGTTGTGGCGAATTTTGTTCAAAATGGCTATTAAATAGCTATTTTTAAACTATGTTTACTTTTATTTTTAGAGCTATTGTTAAAATAGCTAATAAATAGCACAGTGCCCTTTTTAAGGAATTTTCACTGGGGGGGGGCAGGAAAAAAGGCAGAACGAAAAATATGACCCATCGAAGTTTGGCGAACGCGCGAGTCTGAAGAGAGATTTTGTAAAACTTTAATTTATTAACTTCACCTATATAAACAATAATTCAACCGCTTTGTAGCAATAATCGTACAGCTATAACCAGTGGCGTAGCCAGACCTTAATTTTTTTTTTGTGGGGGGGCGAACCTCACGCCGAAGGAGTGAGACCGTCTTGGAGGGTCCGGAGGCATGCACCCCCTGGGAAACTTTGAAATCTAGGGTCCCTGAATTGAGATTTTAAGCATTTTGGGAGTGAAATTCCGAAGAACTATAAAGTACATCGAAGACATGAATTTTTCCAGACATTTCTACTCGGAATGAAATAAATTGGAAAAGTCACCTTCAAAAATAAGAGGAGGGGTTATAATCTCATTACCAAGTAAATCAACTGCAATTCTGACAGCAATCATGAGCAATTCTGCTTCGCACTTCGGGGGCAGAAATGGCTTTACTGGGGGGGGGGGGCAAATGCTTTCCCTGGGAGGAAATTGCCCCCCAGATATATAGTTAAAAAAGGCACTGAAATAGCAAAATAATTTGATCTTAAAAGCTATTTATTTCCTATTCAAATAGAAAGTTGTGAGAATTTAGAAAGGGTAAATGTATTTATTTAACTGGTCAAAATTTCCCTGTTTGAGTTAGTTAATTTTAAATTTTTCATCAGTTCATTGAAATTATATTTACAAAAATATTTATAGTCTCTGTGGACTTTGTGGAGGTAGGTATTTTGTCTCTTGACAAAACAGCATTTTTGACAAAACACCATGCATATATGAATACCACCAAAAATTCTCACGACGAGCGCGGTTTGACAGACTGGTGCCTAATTTTCTTAAAACGCGCGCAAAGCTTTCTGGGATAGCGTCAGAATCACACCGCCATATTTTAAAATATTTTTAGTTTAAACTTTCGCTCGAAATTGGCTCAAATACAGAGCTTTTATTGAACGAAAGTGTTATTTATTTCAAAGATAAAAGATCAGGGATGACTGGATAACATTCAGGTAAGAATTTTGTTATGTTTTATATATAAATAGAGCAATTTTGAAAGGAAATATTTGCTATCTTCATTCGTGAATTTTGGCCACATGTTCCGGCTTAAAATTTCATTTTGCTGCGACAATATTTGAATTAAAACAACATTAGGTTTATAGAAAGGCTTACATTTGACTCAGCCTTTATATTTATAAATGATGTTTATCGTAATGCCAAATAGTATACTTTGATCTTTGTGTAATGTGTTTACTATAGTGTATATGACAGATTGCCAGATTCCAGTGTTTGTTATATAAAATAATATAGCTGAGACACCCCGGCAAGGGTTTGATTGTTTTTGGGATTACCCATTTCACTCCAATGAGCCCAATATTCAGCACTTTTCTATTAAATGTTATCTTGCCTAATGCCGGACAATTTTATTCATCAAGGGAAGTGTCTAGCTAGCGTACTAGACTGCCCATGTTTCATGTTGACATTTAACGCTTCCTACAATAAGTACTTTGATATTATTATTTAACTCTGACATTTCATGCTAGACAATTTTACTTACCGACTGTGGCATGGTCGCCCATATCTCACCTAAATATTAGCACCTATAAAGGAGCAATTTGCTCTTACCTTACTTACTTGAAGAATGAAGTTCTGTGTAGAGATGTGCAGGATAGAATGTTTTTGCTATCCAGCTGCATACAGGATATATGTTGGATAGTTGAAAAATATCCAGCTAGATTCAGGGTATTATTCAAATATACAAATGTTTTTTCTAACCTGTAAAGAAGGCCTGAACTAGCTTCGCTTCGCCCTATTCTTGATGTTACATGATGTTCTTGCTTTTTTTCTGTACAGTCCCCAGCCACGTTACTGTATGTATATACTTAACTCTTTGGCTACTATAGAGACTGCTAACTACAGATTTTTAACTAATTTATTGACAGACCTCTACCTACTGATAAGTAAAATTGTCTGGCATTTACAGATGGTAAATACTAAAGTAGGTCTGTAATAGCCTCTGATGTCTCAGCACTTCTACACTTGTTCTCAATTTCTTTTACTAATTATATTTTATTTAAAGACTATTTACATTGTATGTTTTAACTTTTTATTATCTATGTTTTAACTACTGGTATTTATAATATACAGTATTTTAAAAATATTTATAGGCTATATGTATTTGTATACACTATTTTTAATAGCTATTGTAACTGTATTAACAGGACATATTTTAACTATTTATTTAATATGTTATTACTATTTTTTAACTATTTTTAATCTTTTTGGGCAATATTATATCCACTATTTATTATCTATCTTTAATAAGCTGGGATGTATTTTAACTATTTATTATCTAGTTTTAAACTATATTATCACTATTTTTGAACTATTTATTATCTATTTTTAAACTATATTATCACTATTTTTGAACTATTTATTGTCTATTTTTAAACTATAATATCACTATTTTTGAATTATTTGTTATCTATTTTCAAACTATATTATCACTATTTTTGAACTATTTATTATCTATTTTTAAACTACAATATCACTATTTTTCAACTATTTATTGACTATTTTAAACTTAGTTGAAACTCATTTCAGCTATTTATTACATATTTTTTACCTATATTGTCACTATGTTTTAACTATTTCATACATATTTATTAACTATGTCGAAACTATATATTTTTAATAATTTCCTTAAATAGCTTTATTTTTATCATATTTGAAACCTATTTAATTTCTATTCTAGTACATCAATTAAGTATTTGTTTAGAAATATATCATGAATAGGAAAAAAATATGGTTCCACTTGGATAGGAAAAAAATAGCCTTTCTACCCTAATTTAAATTGGAAAAACCTCGAAAAAAAATAATAGTAAAAATAGGAAATAAATACTTTGAAAAATAGGAATTAAATAGCCCAATAAAATAGGAATTAAATAGCAATTAAATAGTGTTTGATTCTACAAGGGATGAAACAAATATCACGTGACTTTTTAAAATGTTTCTAGACTATCCGTTTAAGCTTTTTGTGGTATTTTTAGGGCTCAGTAGATGTTCTCTTACATGAACAAGTCTAGTCATTACGAAAAAAAGCACTGATCAATGATTTTGTCAAATTTGCGAAAGAGTGGGATTTTGAACATTTTACCAACAGTCCGCGTCATAGTTAAGCCAACGGAAAAGCGGAGAGTGCTGTGAAAGAGGCCAAAAAGATCATAATGAAGTGCAACAAAGCTGGCACCGACACATTCTTAGCTTTGTTGGATCACAGAAATACGCCATCTGCAGCCGTCCAGATTAGTCCTGCACAGCGTTTGTTCAGTAGAAGAACGAGAAGTCTTTTACCTATGTCTGCTGAATTACTCAAGCCAAGTACGGCAGATGATGATTTGACACGCCTCAAATTGCGCATGCGTCAACAACAACAAGCAAGGTATTACAACAGAGGTGCGCGAGACCTTCAACCTTTAGAAGAAGGCGACTCGGTAAGAATCAAGCCCTGGAAACTTGGAAAGAAAGAATGGCAACCGGGATCGGTAAGAAAACGTTTGGATGAGAGATCCTACGAAGCGCAAACACCCTGCGGTATTCTGCGAAGAAACAGAGTTCATTTAAGAAAGTCCAATCTATCCTTAAACAACAATGATACACCTACTCAAAATCCAGTGACGAGACCGCCCAGAGATCCTATTACCTCAACCCCAGTGATCGTACCTACAGAGGAGCTGAGTTTGCCATCAACCTCAACCACAATTCCTCCATCTCCAACAAATGAACAAGATAATAGCAGTTCCGGACACACCGAAGTTCGAAGATCTCAGCGTTTGCGCCGATTGCCAACACATTTGAAGGATTTTGTTTTGAAATAGAGACGGTGATAAGGAACATTTGAACATTAGGACATATTTAGATTTATTTAGGTTTATTTAGATTTGAAAACTTGACTAGAAAACTTTTGAAAAAAAAACTTATCTATTTTTATAAAAGAAAGGATGTTATAGATGGTAATTTATTCATAATTAGGTTATGTATTGTCTAGACAATAGGTTGTTTTTGTCAGTAATAAATCTTGCTCGTCTAAATCTAAGACACGATTCAAAAGACTGAGTTTTATAACACGCTCCCTCTGGAAAAAACTGAGTGTTGACCGACTCTTTTCACATAAGTGTCATTGAAGTGCAGGTGATAATTGAACCCACAATCTTACCCAGAATGCCCTTATTCTGACAATTTCACCACCAAAGTTGGTGGTGCAATCAGCACGCCACCATAGCCCCAGGAGGGTGCAGTGCAAATTAATGGGCTAAGCTGTCAATTTGTGCCAATGTGCCTAGTTTGTTGAGAAGTTAAGCTGTGGGTGAGTGGGTCTATATATAAAAGCCCACAAGAGTATTAAATTGCATAAATATTTCTGTAGCTCTAGATTTCTTTGATTTAAGTTATGAGCAAAGTAAATAAATGATAAATTCTAAAGATTATGTTTAAATGTTACAATGGGTTGTTCTTTGCATAGCATGTTGATGAGTTGGTAAATCCCGTTTAGCCAACATTGCTAGAAATCTCGGACATTTGAATCCCGAAACATTCCTTACGTCTATGTCCCTTATTACCCTTTTTGATCCCCGAAATTTATTATTCTAAATATAACTAAAAGTATTATTAAAAAGATTACAAAAAGGATTATTACAAAATGTAATCATACTAAAAGGATTACAAAATGTAAACAAACAAAAAACAGAAGAAAAGAGCTTTCGAATGATATATTTTGGGTCATTTCTGCCTAAAAAATCATCGCCAAACCGCGACATTAGAACCTGATGATCGTGTCTAATAAACGAACCTTCGATTTTATGCAAACTTGGAATGAAGCAAATACACATTGACACCACAAATTAAGATATGCCAACAATTGTTTCGGATACTAATATCTGCATATTATTTAAATATTACTGCACATTTTTAGGTTCATCGATCATTAAGCCGTAATTTGAGTTTGTAAAATGTGGATTATTGTCGTTTTGATAAATTAGTTAGAAATCCTGCCGCACATTTAATTGCGTTGTTGCCCAGTTTTAAGTATCGTAAATAATCATTATATTTTATTATTTGTTTTAGTTTTCTTTCTTATTTCCTTGATTAGTTCACGGAATTTTGTTTCCACAATGCACAATTTTAATTTAGTATGATTCTTAAAAGATATTTTATGTTAAAAGTGGATAACCATCTACATTCCTGATAAAATTTGAAAATAAGAGTGAACATGGCGACTGGGGCAAGAATGCATGCTGTATTCCGAATGTCCGCGATTTCTAGCGATGGTTGTGTAAAACATATGCCCTTTCTAACTTTGTTGAACCAAAGACCATGTACAGTATTCATGAGGACTTAGGAGCAAGCACGGAAACAACTGGGAAAGGGTTTTGTTGTGTTTAGACTAGAAAACCTACACCTGTTCAAGCAGTTTATTGAGACCTACCTTGAGTAACTTGACAATAATTTCAGGTAAAGCATTTGGGGTGGCTCTAAACATGTTTGGATTGTTTAATCTCGAGACCAATTTCCATGACAACATGGTAAATCATGTGTTATGTGTGTATTGTATGTGTAAGTTTACACACCACATTTGCCGGGCTGATTTTAGATTTTGCTGAATGTTGACAAATATTTTCTGTGAGACCATCAGATGTTGTTTGCCACATATTTTTCAAATACCATTGATTATTAACATGCATCTGAAATCAGTCCAACAATTTGTGATATGCAACCACATCCTTAAATTGTTCAATTTGTTAGACTCTGTCCTGTAACTACAATCCTGGACATAAATTATTGGCAAATGGCTAAAAACTAAGAAAATTCATTGAATTTCACCCCCCTTCCCCTAACATCAATGTTGATGGGTGTATTCGAAGCCAGATAACTTGGCAAAACATTGATATTTGGGGATGGGGGCATCATTGGGACAAACATGCCTTAAAATTATATTTTTGAAGTAATAAACTAGTTTTTGCCACTTTTTTGTCCTGGATTTTGTATGAGATAATTTTCAAATTTGAATGTTTTAGTTTTAGTGTATGAGATGCCTGATTGATAGGATTTTTACTTATATACTGAAAATAGTATGAAATGACTCTGATATAAAGTGATTCTTTATATATTATCTACACAACTTTCATGTATTTGACATTTATGCGCACACAGACATTTCACTGTAAAAACTGATAAGTTAAAATAACCTATTTGTAAAGGTTGTCACTTATATAAATAGGTTGTTTTAACCAATTGAATAGGTTATAACCAAAATAAATAGGTTAAAATAACCAATTATTTTTTGGTTGATCTCGAACATTTCGGTACAACTAATATAAATAGGTTAATTTGACCAATTGACCAAAGTAAATAGGTTAAAATAACCAATTATTTTTTGGTTAATCTTGAACAATACAACTAATATAAAAACAAGTGAAAGAAACTCTAAAGATCGATAACATTTTTATATTTATCAATGGAGTTTCATTTGTTTTGTATTTTGTAAAATACTCAGCAGTTCTAAAAATTATTGTAGTTTAACAAGTTGTTATCTTGGGTGTTTAGCCGATACTGATAACAATAGCCAGGTTGTTTTAAATATTTTTATAATACTCATTCATAATACATAAACTTTGTACGTGACAAATAATGTCAACCATTAATGAGTTAAATTATAAGCCAATAATAATTGCTCAAAAGACAAAACAGTTATAGGCAATTATAGGCAATATTAGTTCAGTACGTCATAATCTTTGTTAATAAAATTAGAAAATGCATCTTATTTTTTACATATTTATACTGATTATAGTATACTATATACAACACTGTACAGATCTACCATTGAATTGCTTATCACAGTCATTTCAACATATAGTATATGCATTCATGCAGGAACCACACCACCATAAATCATCTTTTAATCTCCA